AACAGTGTGTGAAGTCCCCTTGAGATTGTCATGTATAGCTGCATGGGTGTTGACTCATCTAGATTCTGGAGAGCTACATTGATTTCTTGTGTGGGCGTGCATCATTACAATAAAAGAAGCAGACTGACCCGTTTGAGTGTCTATGTATCTCTTGCCTAACTTTCTGACTTGTGGTCAGTCCACAGATCGTTGTCAGGCCATAACCGCACGTGAGTGCAGATCTAAGGAGCCTGGGTTTGATTAAGGAGACCCCCCCAACCAGACTCACCGTCACAGCTCCAGATCAGACCCAGGTGGTTGTGTGTTTTCTCATACAGGCTGTGTTTAAAAATAGCACCGCACACAAACGTAGTTACACTGACCTATTTATTCGACCACAAAATCCAGAAGGCATGATAATTGCATACTGCAACATCAATACCTTCAGTTTTACAGTCTCGTTTACACGACATGTAAATGGGGCACCAGAGCATACGATCCATACTATGGATTTCTTTACAGCTTGGTTGTTACCACCATTGCGAAAAACTTGCAGTTGGGGCTTTTGAGTCACATTACTTATATATACTTAGAAATACATAGCAAACGTGAGTTTTGTATTGTGATGATGTGTGCGTACATTCACGTACGAGAACAATTCTTTCCCTTTTGCGCAGCACGTCAAGGTCTTCTCTTAAGAGTGAAATCATGGCATGATGGGATAGGGAGAAGGGCCTCCACAATACTCACAAGGTTTAATGACTTGCAATTGGTCAAAAAACGTGAGGTTCCCATCGAAATCTTACACGTGAACACCCTCATGCACATTCATTCATGAAATAATGGAAGCACATGCACTGAAGCTCACTGTTATGCAAAGAGGGCCTGTAAACACATTGCAGATTGTTTTGCCTCCTGGAGTTTTGTCCATTACTATCTGCTGAGCTGGAGACTTTACACATTTCCGATTGGCAGATATTTTGTATTTATACAAAATATCTGATTGGTCCTAATTTGCAGATCGATCGATGACCTCAGTGATCGGATCCGCAAAATAAGACAATCTCGTTCACTCCAGGATGATCTGTGCTGCCATTGTTAATCGAGGCTTCTCAACATTTTCGGTCAAAAATGCTTTTCAATTATCAAATTTTTTAAACCATTTGGATCAAGAACGTACTTACTATGTCACATGCAGGTACCGCATAAGCAGACACGCTCAGAAATAAAGACAAAAATAAAATAAAAACAACACACGCACACACACACACACACACACACACACACACACACACACACACACACACACACACACACACACATAGCATTGTGACTGGTGAAATAAAAACAGTATGAGACAATGTCATTGCAGTCTATGGGACCAAAAATTATATGACGCTGTTTTATTTATTTGGCTACGTGTTTGCTTGTGGGGTGCCTGCGAAGTACCGGTAAGTACAGTATGTTCTCGATGCCAAGTGGCTGTCGCCGACGACTTGGACAGACTAGGGCGGCCTGAAATCATTATGGCACAATGACAGATGGATTGACGTGCCCACCACTGTTAATTGTTGTTATTTTTTTTTCTCAATGCATTTCAATGGGTGTCAATTATATGCAAACTTTGGCTAAATGTGGAAGGGGCCAATCCAAATCCCCTGCAAATAGTGGGGGTCAACCGTACAGTAAATAACCTACTGGTAGTTTAACTCTTTTCAATAGATTGGTCCATCTTCTAATCGGATCGGTGACCACTGATCAGGTAGTTGTTTTTTTTGTTTTGTTTTTTTAATTCGCAGATCGGTAATCGTGATCGTGTAAACTGATCTTTACCACCATGTCAGTTCATGAGTGCTGGTATGAAAAGTGAAAATGCTCAGGCTTGCTGTGTGGACTATAAAGCAGCCCTCTCTCAACAGTGGCATTTCCTTGTCCTCTTAGAACGCCACTGTACACTGGGATGTGAGCAACTGAACAGAAAATGAAGTTTCCTGAGAGAGGTTTGCTCTGGCATGGGTACACTCAAACCATGCCCTAGTGCGCAGCAACAACAATAGTCAGATCTGTGGGGTCATAACCTTCTAATTACTGCAGACCATGAGGCGATGACAGTGACTTGTCGGTGTTGCCCGTGATCGAGGCTACCTGTGCTCTCGCACCTCTGATGAAAGGTCATTGTGGGAATGGGTCTGGCACCATCTGGGCCATTTCAGCACCACAGTACAACTTCTAGCCTCTTGGCTTTCATCCATGATATCATTTTTCCCAGCTGACGTTTGTATGGAAATCATTTGTCAAGTCTGAGAGCCAACCGCTCCTGCTCTCAGGTTCTCAATAGGAGACTTTTCTTAGCTTGATCAAGGCCTTCTGCACCGGTTGGCGATCACAGGCCTGCTTCGTAGAGAGAAGAGGCTTAGGTGTCATCATCATGTACTGTACATTATGTAATAGAAAGCAGTGGCATGGTTTGTCCGTTAACCCTGCGCTTGTGTTGGTTTTCAAACATTCCAAAAAGATCCAATTTAGGTAAAATGAAGATGCTAAATCAGGGGTCTCTAACTTATGACCTGGGAGTCATTTGTAAGATTATATTTTGCAGCCCGCTCTTTGATATCAAAGTTTCACGTTTTTTTTTCTTGCCATGTGGTTGCCCTTGGCATAACATCATTCTAAAGGGACACCAAGTGGAAGGAAACTATTTTTTTGCCACTTAGTCCCAGTCAAGTACTGTATTTTTCAAAAACCTACCATGAAGAGAATAGTTGACGAGAAGTGCTAATTTCAAGAAAAACAGTAGCCAGAATGTTTGTTGTTGTTTTTGTTGTTGTTGTTGTTGTTGTTATTGTTGTTGTTGTTGAACACATGTCTACGTCTTGTATGTACGGGGAAAGTTGCAGCGCTCAAGAAATTAAATGTCATGACTCAACAAGACATGCTGAGGCGTAAACAAAAGTATAAAGTACCAGTGAGATGAGAGAGCGGACCGTGTCACCAATCTTTTTCATGTTTTGAACAACCGTTAATGTTTCTGAACTACGATTAATATGATTAAATAGAGTGGATTGATTGTACTTATATGGAATACTTAAATCCCTTTTCTGTGGGATACTCGATGCGGCCCAGAGACATCAAGCGGCCCCCCCACATGAGTTGACTTTGAGCCCCCTGCTCTAAATTTTCCATAGTTGTGAATGTGAGTGGAAATTGTTATTTGTGTCACGTGATTGGCAGGTGAGCCATTCAGGGCGCACCTCGTCACCTCCGAGAACAGAGACGACCCGAATGAGAAGAAACACAATGGTAAATTGCTGGCCAGAGTAATATAAACTGTGGCATTGATAGGAATGTTGCCGTACATTACTTTAGTAAAGCATTTTATGGCTACATTGTAATACTGTACTGCATTTATAGTGTCATCCTTTTTTCCCACTGTCTCTGCCTCAACTAGGTGGAGCAGATGGCGAGACAGTCTAAAACACGAAACATATGTGTAAAACAAAGCTTAACATCACGTTAAATCTATAATTATGCCCACCACAGCCTCCTAAAATATCAGAACAATCGTCCAGGTATTGTGGAGTTTTATGGACAGTAAGTCTTTTCTTCTCCATAGATGCTCATTGTAGAGAAAATCATAACATTGTTGAATATCAGAAGACTGCAATAAATCATCACCACAATTAATATAGACAATTTGCTTATGGGCACTTCAACTTCTGAAATCATGACAATTATTGCCTCCATTTTTTTGCCTCCATTCCACAACACTAAGCTGTATTGTGAGCGCCTGTTGAGAGGAAGATGTAAATGTCCATAAAGTTCCAAATCTAGGGTAATCGTTCTAATATTTGCAGTGATTGTCCATTTGTAGAGATGTCCATAAAAATGTTGGTAAAAACTGATCACAGTTTTCTGCCGTCAAGTGATGTTAATCTTTTTCAATGAAGAGGAAAACACTTAATGCCCATTGCGATCATTTTAATATTTTCACAGGTAGAAGTGGGCATGAGTTGAGATATGCACATACCTGTACATTGTGGTGACAATTGATCATGGTTTTTGGATATTAAGCGATGTTAAACTTTTTTTACATTTAAGTGTTTTGGACTGTCCTCAGATGGCTTTCCTCTGTCTTGAGTTTGGAACATGAATCAGTTTGTGTTTGTTCTGATAAAAGTTATGAAGGTTCACCATATAATCAAGCCTTTTCAGTACCATTTATGTCTTATCAATTCACTTTCGATAGCACTTGCCCTCATGATGGTTGCCGGTAAGCTGGCACATAGCCCAGCTGACATCCTTGACTGGTGTGACATTATTCTTTGCTGATTTTAGTAGCAATGTCCTTTTGCTTGGCGAAAAACCAAACACTTTGTCAATGCTGCCCTTCTGCCCCCGCAGTTAAGAGGCTCTGGATTTATAATAGGTTTGCATGTTGTCTGTCTGTTTTTGTGGGTTTTCTCCTCATGATACCCCGCATGATACCCCTCCCACCATTTTCCCCAAAACGTGCATGGTGGATTTTTTTTTTTTTATGGTGCGAATGTAAATGCGAATGGTTGTTTGTCTATATGTGCCCTGCGACTGGTGACAAGTCCAGGATGTACCCCACCTTGCTTCAGTCAGTTCGAATGGGCTCCAACTCTGACCGTAAACAGGATAAGCAGCAGAATAGGATGAATGAATGATAACAAATCACATACTATATTGGGTCAACAGCTGTCCACAGTAGCCTACCTAGGGAGTAGTTTCAGACTTGCTCCAATTTTAAAATAAAAAGTATTCTGGGAGAGCTTTACATTTTTAGTGTAACTGAAATTGTGATGGATTTTCATTTCCATTTTAGTCTGTAAACACCATAAAAATCCAAAAGAAAACAGTAGATGTGGACCGTAGTTGTGTGAAACTGAGCGTACTCCAATCTGACAACGCTAACTCCGCACCCCATGGAAAAAACTGGGAGGAAAACATCAAGGCATCAGCCTGCGAGCGAGAGCGCGCCTGCGCGTCCCCGACCACAACTTTTCATTTCTCCTCACGAGTTGACTCCAGCGGGTGGATCGGCTGTCTGTTTACAGGGATGAAGAGGAATCAAAAGCGAGAGTGAAATGTTCATTTAAAGTGGTGATTGCCCTCTGGTTGCTTACATCAGGTAAGTGAACGTTTGACTAGGTTCACACTCACTCATCGTAATATAGTAATATCAAGAGTATATATAACGTATTCTATAGTTCATCCAGAATTACGACTTGGGGGGAACGTTTAAGTCGCAGAAAGTTGAGTTGTACCGAATGTGATGTTTTTTTAATGGCCTGGTGGATTTTTTTTTTTTTATGGTGCGAATGTAAATGCGAATGGTTGTTTGTCTATATGTGCCCTGCGACTGGTGACAAGTCCAGGATGTACCCCACCTTGCTTCAGTCAGTTCGAATGGGCTCCAACTCTGACCGTAAACAGGATAAGCAGCAGAATAGGATGAATGAATGATAACAAATCACATACTATATTGGGTCAACAGCTGTCCACAGTAGCCTACCTAGGGAGTAGTTTCAGACTTGCTCCAATTTTAAAATAAAAAGTATTCTGGGAGAGCTTTACATTTTTAGTGTAACTGAAATTGTGATGGATTTTCATTTCCATTTTAGTCTGTAAACACCATAAAAATCCAAAAGAAAACAGTAGATGTGGACCGTAGTTGTGTGAAACTGAGCGTACTCCAATCTGACAACGCTAACTCCGCACCCCATGGAAAAAACTGGGAGGAAAACATCAAGGCATCAGCCTGCGAGCGAGAGCGCGCCTGCGCGTCCCCGACCACAACTTTTCATTTCTCCTCACGAGTTGACTCCAGCGGGTGGATCGGCTGTCTGTTTACAGGGATGAAGAGGAATCAAAAGCGAGAGTGAAATGTTCATTTAAAGTGGTGATTGCCCTCTGGTTGCTTACATCAGGTAAGTGAACGTTTGACTAGGTTCACACTCACTCATCGTAATATAGTAATATCAAGAGTATATATAACGTATTCTATAGTTCATCCAGAATTACGACTTGGGGGGAACGTTTAAGTCGCAGAAAGTTGAGTTGTACCGAATGTGATGTTTTTTTAATGGCCAAATGACGCTCAAAACGCCATTACGCCATTTATTGTATGCATGCGTATAATCAGTTGTGTGCGTGTTTAAATTAAATCGAAGTTAAGAAAAACAAGTTTCGTGCAGTGAGCTCAGCCTAAAATCTTTCCCAGTTGTCATTTTCATTTTTTTTCAAACCAAATAGCCAGCCGCACAGTATTTGTGCCCAAACTCCGCGTTGTGATCAGCGTCTTTGAACCAGCCTGCTCAAACTTCTGAGTCATACCTAATTGCATTACTAATCCTGCTTAAACCTGCCGGTACAAGTGTGTGCAACCAGCTTTCAGCCGTTAACCTCTCATAACGAGGGAGGGAAACAAAAATAATGTCAAGTCTACACCCTGTGCTTTTTTGTGTGGTTAGACTTACATCATTCTACATCGCCGTGGTGATTCCATCTATTCTAATTAGAAGGGATCGGCGTTCGCTGCAGGTGTGTTAGCATGCATGTGAGCACAACAGGATGGGACAAGCAGCTCAAACAGCTTACTGTGCAGAAGTCATATATTAGCATATACTTTCCCTGCCACAAAAAAAGGCAACATGGAAAGTTGAAGCACGGATTATATTTCAAGCCAGAAGTGCTAATGAAAGGGAAGGACCGGGCCATTAAGTCAGGTGAGGTCATGTGTGGCTTCTTCCTGCTTCAAACCCCTGGATGAGAGCACTTTCCTCTTTCTTTTCACGTTCAATATTATCTGAGATTTAATTTTTGTTCTTGTTGTCTTCTTTCTTAGGCTGGTGGACTTTTGAACTGTGTGCTTGGAAAGATGTCTCCAACCAAGTAGATGCTGATCAACGTGACTCTCACCGTCAAGGAATCTCGTGCCTTTCATGGAACACTGCCTCCTATCCCCAACGATCCGTTGCCTGTGACAGTGAAAGTCATGGATTCATTCACGGTGGCGGTGCCCGTCCTGGCACCTCCACCGCCACCGCCACCGCCCCCTCCTCCGCCGCCACCACCTCCTCTCTCATCGCCTTTGAGCCGGACGGACAGCGGCCATCGAAGCCGGCTGAGAAAGTTCAACTGGGAGCGTATCCCCAAAGAGAAGGTAGAGGGGAGGAACAGCGTGTGGAGCGGTGCGGGCCCGGGGGAGGACGAGTTCCCCATAGATTTGCACTCTCTGGACGAGCTCTTCGGCCAGAAGGACAATAAGCCTCAGGACAGGAGCAACACTTTAAGACGGCGGTCTGCTCTGCTACGCTGCAGAACTCCTCAGGATAGCCCAGAAGAGGTCAGTGTACACTTTTAAAAGTGCTCAGTCAAGAGTCAGCCAAAGTCAATCAAAATCCAAAAGGGACAGAACCAAGGCTGGGTTATTTAGAGGTATCCAGCGCACTGGATAGAGGATTTGACCCAGCATGCTGGTCAAGATTTTGATCAAGGAGATAGTAAAATCTACCCACACTAATGAGTTAAAATTACCTAGAAATTGGTTACAATGTTATCAGTGAAGCTGTGGTCAAAACCGATTCTACTTTTATTACCAACATCTGAACCTCAGCCCTTGTTTCCAAGAATGCTACATTAAATTTACTTGAGCTTCAGAATGCCAACAAGGCTTCAGCTCTTCAGCTTGCCTAAATCCAATCTTAAACACAATTTTCTGGGTCAAAATAATCAACCCACCCTTGGTTGAAAAGAACCCAATTTGCTCCAAATCCAGGGAAAACGACTCATCATTTTTTTTTGTGCATGTGTTGCACCTACTAATATTTTTATTGTAATTCCTTTCTCCTTTTTACAATGACTTTCATTTTACAGATCTCCCTACTGGACTCCAAACGCAGTATGAACATTGGGATATTTCTTCGCCAGTTCAAAATGTAAGCCCAATTTATTCTTACCTAGAACCAGAACTATCGGACACATGAATAATTTTGTATGACCTCTATTTACAATATGGTAAGCAACTATTGCTGCGCTAAAAGTGACATTTGAGATTCTTTCAGATGACGTGAATAGTGTGATTGTATTCTCAGAATCAGTATGATCTAGGATTCACAAAAGTATCACTCATTGCTAAATTGGTGCTTAAGTTTTCTTTTCTTGATGAAAGACATTCAGAGGTTTGCGACTTGTTCAAAAATATATAATTTCAGTGTATTATCCACGTTTGGCTATAGTTAACCAGATTTCTTCGCTCATTATTAAGATACACATTTATATACATTGAAATAGGAATAATGTAGAAACTATGATTACACTTTCCAAATGACGTATATAATGCATGATTAAGTGATCATGAAGATGATTGTTTTAAAGTCAGTGAGGCAAATAGATTGACCACCTTGGTTTCAACTAGCAGACACATAGTTGTTTCAGTCCCCATTTAGTTTGGTGTCTAAAGCTGAAATGTGGTACATTAAAATACACTTTTCCTCATAATTAATTGTATTTGAAATGTTTATAAATAACATAATGTGAATTAAATAGCAGTCAAGTAATTATTAATCGTCGCTCTTGTCGATGAAGGGAATTTTGTCAAACGTCTCATAATATATTGTGGAAAGTATTGGAAATAAAATCTTCCCTTGCAACATTATCAAAAGCGATTTAAAAAAAAAAAAAGAAAGAAAAAGAAATCTGGGATATGCACTAACACGTCATGGACCAGTCCATGGCTCATGCAAGACTCATCTCCTCATAGCCTCTCTGAAATGAGTTTTTCTCTCTCTCTCTCTCTCTCTCTCTCTCTCTCTCTCTCTCTCTCTCTCTCTCTCTCTCTCTCTCCCTCTCTCTTTCTCTCTCTGTGTGTATGGTTTCCTCTTTTTCTTAAATCTTGTTCAATCCAGTCAAGAGAACAAGCATGTTTAATTGTGCCCGAGGGGTTCAGCACTTGATTTGAACTACCATAAATCAAACAGCATGGAATCGGTGCCAGAAGACTGAATGCACAGGGGGCGGTGCGAGCGTCATGGGTGTGTTCCTGTCGAAATGGCAGGGGGACAGGTGCAGGGGAGCCTCCAATCTCAGTCGACGGACTGGATGTCCTTAAGTGTCCATGTTTGACGCTTGGGAGTCAGAATTGACACTTACTACGGCCCCGTGACAGTGCTTCCTGTTTAAATGACCTCTTACTATATGGGGGACTTCACGAGTGACCTGAAGTCATCCACTCTCCTTGATTATTTATGTATTTATTTATTTATTTAATGTCTGACTCAAAGCAACAATTCCCCTGGGCAAAAGAGTTGTTTTGTAATCCATTATCTATTGGAACAAACGTTGACTTGTTGTGCTGCTCAAGACTGAGTGACATGTCTATTCCAACCTGGATTTGTTGAGACTTGTGTGCAAGCCCAAGTGTGAAAAGAGCGTCTTTATGTTAACTTTTGTCTGGTCTGGAGCTTTCTTGACTTCTGTCAGTGCAAATGGAGCTTCTGTTGAAATATGGCATCAGTTCCCTTTTGTCTGTTTCTCTGTTTTTGAGTGCATGGGAACGAACTTCACTGTTTTTGCACCAAAGGTAGAACCTACTGAGATGAAAAACAAGAGGTATAAATAATGATTCCTGACAGAGAACAACTTCGGATATTTTATTGTCATTGGCACGCGTATAAAAGCAACAACAAAAGATCTCATTAAGAAAAAGGATATGACGACTGTCTGCCAAGTCCCAAGGGGGTTTTGAAATAAGCAAACACTGTTCATACGAGAAGCTACGGTAGCGCCAATGGAAAATAACTGCAACGGCGGTGCAGTGCGCTCAACAAGGCTTGTCTAAATGGAATAGTGCCAACTTTGGTACATGGGCAAACTGCCACCACGTGAACAAAATGTTTCCTCAACTTTATTCAGATCCTCACAAAAATCTAATAACAGTGATCTTTTAAAGTTATGTGAAGTTGCTGTCATTGTGTGCTGAATGGTGTGATAAAATGTCGAGCCACAACACCACCTCACACCTTCACTCTTTTGTGCTTGGTGGAGGTAATAAATCTCAGTTATTTTGCAAGGGCGTTATTATTAAATTCGATAGAATGCTGATATTGGGTGTCTTTAGATTGTTTGACGGAATCTCTTCTTGTGACAGGCGAGTGTGTATATTCTCACAGGCTACCATATGTGTTGGTATTGCAGTATAAGGGTGTGTCTGTAATTCGCTATGAGATGAGGTTAATAGGAAAACTGCTGGAGTGAAAGGTGAGCTGTGCCACTGGGTAAGACAGCCACAGGCCAACCAGATCAGCTTCTCTAACGTCCCAAAGAAACTCCAGACATGTTGTGCATGATAGACAACCAAGTTTCCAGTGTGGCGTCAACTGACTGATAAGAAAAAGGAAAAACCTCATTATCTCGTGATTGTGTGAAAACAAAGAGGTGATATTGCTCACAGGAGTAGGGTTGGGACATTGTGAGTCTGGTAGCTTCGTTGCATGCATGATGTCATACTCATAGATCATTTTGTGGGATTTTTTTTTTTCCCACAGGCCGGCGAAAGAGATAGCTGAGGATATCAAGCACGGAGCTGGGGACCGTTACGGAGCAGAGAAACTCACGGAGCTCTGCAAGCTGTTACCCGACATTGAGGAGGTAAAGTGCACCCACATGCCGCCGGCCAACCTCCTGACCTCCTCTGCTCACTCATCATCTGGCTTTGGTTAGGATGATCAAAAAGCTTACTGCTACACCGCACTGTGTGATGTGGTCTGTTCCTGCAGGAAGGAGCATGGTCAAAGATATTGGAATCAACCGTTGAACAGGAATCTGCTTTGCTGGATTTTTCTCAACATCTGTTCTCTTTCAGGAATCTCGCCTGAGGAGCTTCAGCGGGGAACGTCGCTGGCTTGGAGAGCCTGATCTTTTTATGCTCCTGCTGGTGGAAGTCCCCAGGTACGCTCCATTGTAGCCCTGCTTTGGATATTATTACCCAGCATGTCCCCTGTACAGCACAGTGCTTTTTTTGTTTTTCCAGCTTGATGCATAGCTTGAGTGACTCACCTGCTTCCTCTTGGAATGACGTGTGTTTATTTAAGTGATGACCAAGAGTGCCTTTTTGTCTCCATCATCACTCATCCGTGCCTATTCACTCATCCGTCCCCCGCCCCCTTGCTCCCATTCCATTAGTTTTCGCCTTCGCTTGGATGCCATGATCCTACAGCAAGAGTTTGACCCTGCTCTGACCTCTCTGTGTGTGGCAGCCAGATGTCTGAGGGAGGCGGCTAGAGGTAAAGTAACAGCGGGGAGTTATGTACTCTAGCGCTATAAAGATCTTTGTCTTTTCCCTTTTTGAATGCTCCCATATAGAATTAGTTAAGGGTGGTAAGTAGAGGACGTGAAAATGTGGATGATCTTCTTGTTTTAAGGGAAGCCCCCCCATCAGGAACTTTGTAATGACTCAATAGCTTACTACGAAAACGTGTTCATTTTTGTCTCCCTTAGAACTGCTGAGCTGTCCTGAGTTACACTCCATCCTCCGTTTGGTGCTTAAAGCAGGGAACTACATGAATGCTGTGAGAGGCCCTCTTTTTATATTGCGCAGTATTTATATTTTCTTGTTGCTGATAGTGTTTGGTACACACGTCGGACTTGTGCGCGGGTGGCGTGGGATCGGTTCCCACTCAGTGACGGTGTGAATGAGGGTGTTCGTGATCGTTTGGCTCTGTCTGTATCCTGTGATTGACTGGCGACCAATTCAGGGTGTAGTCTGCCTTCTGCCTGAGGTCAGCTGGGATAGGCTCCAGCAACTCCCTGCAACCCTGTTCAGGATAAGCGGTGTTGAAAATGGAGGGATGGATGCATTATATTTTCGTCTACTGAGCCAGACAAAGCCACATTTTAAATTGTGCCCAGTAAAGTACGTTATTTGCTCAGGGACTATGACTGGTGTTTGTCTCATTGTTTGTTTTTAAATTGTCATGAGGTGAGCGTCTTTCTTTATCTGACCTTGTATGTGCTTACTCAGGGTGGCTACTCGGGGAATGCAGCTGGATTTCGAATTTCATCACTGCTCAAACTGGCTGACACCAAAGCGAACAAACCTGGCATGAACCTGCTTCATTTTGTAGCTATGGTAAGAGCTTGTGTGTGTGTGTGTGTGTGTGTGTGTGTGTGTGTGTGTGTGTGTGTGTGTGTGTGTAAATCCAATAATAGAAGATTCAATAAGTAGCTCGTTACATGGGGTGCAATAAAAGTCAAGGATGGTTCATTTCAAAGTGGCATAATTCAGTTTGCTTCAGAGGCATTCTGATTCGATTTGATTCGACACGGCCTTAGTTCAAAAGGGTGTGGTGCAATGAGTTTCTTGCCATTTCACAATATGAATGAACTTGTCAGTATTTATAGGTATACAGTAGTATATGCAGTCTGTAGCCAGACTGGTCCTCACAGCGTCGGATGTAAGCGGCATTTGCAAATTACATTTGACTTAATTTGGAACATTGCTCTAATCATTTGTGTTTGTCTCCACAGGAAGCTGTGAAGAAGGATCAGAGTTTACTGTCATTTCCTAGCCAACTGGGCCATGTTGGCTCCGCTTCTAGGTCAGTCTCTTCCCAAAACATGGATCCAGTTGAATGCATATGAATATTATAAGCTGAAACGAATAACATTACTACACCCGTGTGACAGGCTTCAAACACTGATTTCAACTGAGATGTTTTTAAAGTCTTTGTTAAAATGGACCATTGTGGTTAAACATGTATTCCACCCAGCTAGACTAATGCTTTAAGGTGTAAAACTTTCTTTCATGTTATTTTTTTGAAAACGTAGATTGTGCGAGGAGTCTGTAATGGAGGATTTATCCAAGTTAAAAAGCAGAGTGCTGGCGCTGAAAGCAAATGTCCTGACAGAGAGAGAGATTTTGCAGCACGCGCAATCTTTCTTCGAGGTAAAACTCTCTTATTCATATCCTCATTACCCTACTTAGACACACAGAGCATTGCATTTTTTCCCCAAAAATACATGAACAAACTGATTGTTTATTCAAGTGTTTGCATCTGCATGCAGGTGACAGAGGAGCGTCTAAAAGAGGCAGAGGATGAAGTTGAGGGCATGAGGATGTCAAGTCGAGCATTGGTGGATTTTTTCTGTGAAGACGACAGTACATTTAAACTTGAGGAAGCCTGCAGGGTCTTTGACTTATTTTGCCAGCGCTTCCAAAAAGCTGTCAAGGTTCGATCTACAAATGAAATCAACTTCATATCATATCAAGTTAAGGTGAAAGTTAAATGCACAATTCTCTCTTTTGCTACAGGAGAATGCAGAGCGCGAGTTGAAGGAGCAGAAACGTCTGGAACGTCAGAGGGAGATCGCGGAGAAGCGTCGCTCAGTGGCTGTCTGCACGGGTCTCGACCTGAGAGATCCTCACAGTCAAGGAAACCAAGATGATCTGGAGAGACTCCTTGAGAAGAACTTGAGCCGCACCTGGAGCCGTCGTAGCCTGAGAAGTTCTGACACGCGCAGGTACTCTCACTGCCTGCCCAGCGACAAGAGCTTCCCAGAGCTGAGCACCAGCCCGACAGCCATCAGCTGTCACTCAAGCTGCTCATCTGACCATGAAACAGCCACTGTGCTTTGTAGCTCTCCAGAGACGGATGGCTTTTGTTCCCCAGTTGGTCAAGGAAGTGTCTTGGAAAGCGACAATAAGAGTCAGTCATGCCATTACCAGGCAATAAATCAGTGCATGGAGATTGTTCAAGAATCTCTCGTTGGATCGTATTCGCAACACGGACCTGGGTTCACGGTTAGGCAACAAGGGTCTGAGAGCATTCCTCTTCAAATACAGGCATCGGAAATGAGTGGCCTTCCAAAAGTGAATGCAATGTCATGCAAGCAGAAGACTACCAAGAACACTGAGTTTCCACCCAACTCCTCTCGGAATGCTGCTGCTCTCAATGCAGATACCCCTTCGCTGTGCGCTAAAAGCCAGAACTCCGGTCCTAGACATAGTTTTGGAATGCCCCCAGCTGACAGGAATAGTTCTCTTCAGAATAAATTAAACACCTGTCGAGTTGGTGGGCCTGAACATCAATCTCCTCACAAGAGTGGAACGCTTCATAGCAACAACCGCCCAACATCAGTGAGCTTTCAGAGAACTGAGAAAGAATCACGTTTATCTGTTAAGGCGACGGATAAAGTGGCGTTGCAGCAGCTAAACAGAAGGATGAAAGCAAGTGCTGCTATGTCTGGGCCCCATGAAAGTCTGAGGAAGCAGTTAAACACAAAAGGGGCGGTGACACCAGTCGCGGAGAACTGGATGCCACCCAGTCTTCCGGAGTTCAGCCAGTCACACCCAGAGGAGAACTCCGATGTGCAGAGTACGAAGAGGGAGTTTGCGAGGTCCTACTCCCATGTGGGGGAAACTCTAGAGTGCCGCACTCTTGTGAAAGGCCTCCGATCCTATGACACACTGTCACCACCGTCATCCCCGACCCCGCGACCAGGGCCGAGCCTCTGCTCCAAGTGGAAGAAAGAGAGGGAGGTTGAGCCGAGAACTCCGGCTTCTCCATCATTAAAGGAGGAGAGTCGTGCCTTGAAGGTTCCTGTACGTGGTGGCGTCAGAGCTAAGAGAGCACCTGGGTCACGTGTAGGACCTTCCAACAGCACAGGTGTTCCAAGAGTACGCCCCAAAACGGAGGCTACAAATAGTGCCCAAGTACCGTCCGCAAGTAGCCCAGCGACGTCCCGTTTATCCTTGCGTTCGTCTCCTATCACGCAGCCTGCCTCACTTCGTGCAGATGTGAAAAGAAGTGGTAGTGCACGAGAGAGACCGCAGACTGCAAATCAGCCGCAGATTCCTGGAAAGTCTTCCCTGACCCGTAGGACCTTGGAAAGACCAACAACAGAGAAGGTCTCAGGCAGGCCCCAGTCAACATTTGTTCGAGGAAGCCCTCTCCGCGTGGCAAAACGAGTCGCCCCGAACTCCGAAACTCAGTCTACTACCGCAACTCTACCAGCCCACGGTCCATCTTCTGCCACAGCTAAGACCATACGTACGGCGGCCGTCATGTCTGGAGCCCGGAACAAAACCACTAAGACCACTAACACAGGCACCTGTGCTACCTCTAAAAACCCTTCAAGAATTACTGGTTCTAAAATGCTTCGACCGACTACAACTCAGCCACTGTGGAAATGAAAATAATATATTTTAGGCGTTTTTCGGCCTATCTATACAGAGCTGGTTATCTCTGTACATGATCAGTTCCAATACATCAAACATATACCGTATTTTCCACACTAAAAGGCGCACTAGATTATGAGGCGCACCTTCTATGAATGGCCTATTTTGTAATTTTTTTCATACATTGGGCGCGCCGCATTATAAGACGCAATCTACAATGCATCCACTAGATGGAACTACGCTCAAGGAAATGCCAACAGAACGATCAGATGTCAGTAAAACGTATTTAATAAAGCAGCGACACAGTTCACTTAACCAACAGCAAGTTATAACATTGACTCGTTAACGTTGACCTCTTTTGCCGCCGCTCTATTTTCGTGTTCAACTGCGTAACCCATCGCCTTAAGTTTGAACTCTGCGTTGTCAGCATGTCTCGAGCAAGGAGCAATTTTGGGGTCAAAATATTACCGTAATGACCATACACAAGGCGCATCGGATTTTAAGGCGCGCTGTGAGCTTTTAAGAAAATGGAAGGCTTTTAGGTGCACCCTATAGTGCGGAAAATACGGTACACATGTATTTTGGGATCATTTGTGACACATTAAGTTTTGTGTCCTCATGCACAAGTAGAAGAGTAAATCCTCTTCAGCCCTACCTCATCTTACAATGTAATGTGTATCCTTTGCAGGCAATAGGATACAACTCAATTGGTGTTTGAACAACGAGCCAAATCATCACGGTGTGCCCAATCAGACCGCTTGTGCTCTTGTTTAAGTATATTGCTCGATGGAATTTTATATTTTGAACGCTGTGAGCCCTGTGCTATCAGAAATAATTGTGTTCTCATCCTCTCTTGGTACAAACTTCGTATCCTTCTATTGTGCACAAACTGAAGAGGCAGTGAGGAGACTTTGTGTGTGCGTGTTTTTATTTTTTATATTGTATCAAAAGAATATATAATTTTATTGAACAGCATTGGCTGTGATTCACTGTATTTTGTGGATATGTAAATAGGATGAATAAAGAAGGTGATATGGACAAATGGGTTTCTCTCTGTTCCAGCAGTCTACATCGGTTGGTTAGCGTTAACTGAGACCAGTCATTACTAAAACCGTTTCTTCCAAAAGTCTGGTGAGCGTATAGCTAGTGGTGGGCAAGGCCTTCTCTGGTGGCAGAAACAGCGACCTATATTAACCAAGAAAATTCAAAAATTGGTTCTGTGAAATTGTGTCAATTCACTGCCAACCATCCAATTCTCTTTATTTTGGAGCAATTTCTTGGCTCCCCTCCCTACAGTAGCCTACATAATCAAGGATGTTGATTTTTTTTTTTCATTTAAATCAGTCAGGTTTCAAGTTTACCTCACGGGTCCAGTGAACTTGGCTGGCAACTAGTTCAGGGTGTAGAAGACAGCTGGGTGAGGCTGCAGCACGCCCCGCGACACTTGTGAGGATAAGCGGATCAGAAAATTGATGGATGGATGGATGAAAGGTCAAGTTAACATATCTACAATAATGTCAACAATTTTCCATCTTTGATTGGTTGGTCAGAGCAAGCCAAGTTTGACTCGCAAAAGTCTCATCTGTGGTGACAAGCACATACTGTATTATTCAATTTAATAATCCGCATCTCTTGTGAGTATGACATTTCATTTACTTGCTTCATGTTTTTAACATGTTATTAGGTACATATATATCGATTCTGAATTACTAGCTATGTGGACTTAATGATGATTGACAGAAGAATTTTAGTGTCTTCATGTAAACACAGTTGTGAGTTACTTGGGCCCGCCACACACACACTAGTGATCACGTTTGAAAGCACCTGAAGTGAACCATCACACAAAAAAAAAAATTCCACCAAATCCTATCATCCATCCATTTTCTGATCCACTTTATCCTCACAAGAGTCGCGGGGGGTGCTGGAGCCTATCCCAGCTGTCGTTGGGCAATAGGCGGGGGACACCCTGAACCAGTTGCCAGCTAATCACAGGGCACACAGAGAAGAAAAACCATCTGCGCTCACACCCACACCTAGAGACTATTTAGCGTGTTCCATTAACCTGCAATGTATGTTTTTGGAATGGCGAAGGAAACCAGAGTACCAGAGAAAACCCATGCGGGCACGGAGAGAACATGCAAATTCCACACTGGAAGGCCAAAGCTGGAATCGAACCCTGCACCTCTGCACTGTGAGGTCGATGCGCCCAACCAGTCGACCACCTGGCTCTTATCAAATACTGTATACCAAAATTCGATGAGATGTTAAACCTGCCACACTTTAAGGAATAGGCTCACACACACCAAGGGGTGCAACCACCACAGTTTGGGAACCTCAACCCACCCTTGCCGTGAACTATATGTCCCTGCACAGTGCCATCTTCTGGCATTCTTGTCACCGTTCTTTCTTCTGAATTATCCTTGTCTGTTGCATTTTGACACAATTGTGGAACCCCAATTCTGTCGGTGGCTGTTGCCATGGTGATGCCTGGGACGTTCCGGCAATTCTCCTCCCAAAACAAGGAGGCGAAAGGGTTGGGGCAAAGCTTGACAGCGGGTGTTGGGGTCCCAGTGGGAACTCTCTCTTCACAGACCGTAGTGACGCCGAAGCCTTTTGGGAAAGGGCAATAAAGTGGTGTCACTTTTTGTTCTTGAGTGTCCGGTGTGTCGCACAGCACTAGCCTTTTAACCTCAGTGTGTAAAGGTGACATCATCATTGGGTCTCCATTGGTACAAGACAGAGTGATCCCTCTTTTAGTTGCCTTTGTTTTTTTCTCAATGGATTTGAACAAAATAAACTTCATGTTTCTTTTTCTTAAGGCCATATAAATGGGGTACAGATCCACTAATGGTTTGTGGATATGTGCATTTGAATAAATTCGGTTGCTTGCTTGATTCCTGATATGTGAGGAAGATTAATAATCAACTAATCATTTATTTATTTCATTTTTTAAATGTATTCAAAACTGATGGGAAAACTTCTCTCTGGATGTTCCAAACCTCTGTTTCAATGACAGTGTCTGCGAGAAGTTGTACTACAGCTGAGGCCCATCAAGAGCTGATTTGCTGTACTTAATCAAAATGACATCTTCTTGTCATTTTGATTAAGTACAGATTAAGTACTTTGATTAAGTACTTGTCTTATATATATATATATATATATATATATATATATATATATATATATATATAAGTACAGTACACATAAGTACTTGATGAGATGTAGATCTCTTCCTTTTCTTTTGCATTGAAAAATGATCTATTGACAGGGATTCGAATCCCGCTTGTGGCAAAAAAATGAGCACATAACACCATCCAGTGTGGGTCCTTGGGACCAGACCCTTCACGCTAATGCCTACCTCATACAATGGTGAGAGACAATAAATCGAATGACATGCCGGCTCAGACGTCGCCCGGCCAAACAAGGTCTGCATCAGGTGCTGGGGAACCAGAGCACCTTGACGAAAAATGGGCTACTGGAACAAAGCGGAGATGGGCGAGATGCGATAACATGGCTCTGTTGGAATGCTACTACTCAAGCAACCCTAGTTACATGCAGAGAATGCGGGCTGAATGGTTACTTCGAAACCCACAGTCACGGTTGATGACGAAACAACTAGTAGCTCAGTGTTCCAACATCAACAAATGGCAATTGCTGTCACAACTTGAGATTGACGAGGTACAACGCACAGTCCACGGTGAAGGGCCGCAGGCTGCCAGATCAGAGGAGGAGGTCATACCAGAGAT